ATTTGAGCCATCACTCATCTAGGGAACCTGCCCAACCAATTATAGATCATATCCCATAGAAACCAGTGAGTGGTGTCCGGTTTATAGGAGATATCACAACCTGCCAATGTTCTAGACCTAGATCGCTTTGGTAATGAATGACATCGCATGGCATAAGAAACATCCAATCTCATACACAACATGGCATACATGTGACTGTGATGCAAATAAAATTAGGGTTATTTTAATTCTTTTTATTATTCTTTTGTTTATCTTTTCAACAATAGGAGTGAGCTACGGATAATTAGGTGGACATGAGTTTATCTTGTGCTTGAATTGATATTGATCAATTGGGTTGGCTAGTTTCTAAAAAGAGGAATAGAAATAGGATAAGGTTAAATCTAAGGGAAGGCTTTGCATAAAACGTGGGCCATCTATTTAGAAGCAAATCTCTTTGGTACGTGAGGTTAAGAAATAGAAAATAGGGATGACAGAGAAAATAGGTTAAGAGAGAAAATAGGGAGAAGAGATAAAGTAAGAAAAATCCGTGTAGAGAGATTTTTTTTTTAGTCTTTAAAGGGAGATCTCCCTTCATTGTAATTCGGTGAATGAGTTAATAAAATTTGGTCTCGTAAAGAAATTATTTTGGGGCGGATTCCCTTGCAAACCTTGAGAGAGGGTATATTCTCTCAACCTTTTCTTTTTTTTATTGTTATTTTTTCTGGTGTTATTTTCCCCCTGCATCAGACTGCTGTTGCAATCATGTAGAATATATGGGACATTCTTTCTTTCTCAACTTCTATTTTTGACAAAGATTCTTAACTCGGCACATGACACTTCTCGACCAGTATCTATGGGCTTACAATTATACATCTAGAGTTGATTTAAGCTTTCTGAGCTAAGTCCCTTGAGACAAACTACGGAACATCTTAGAATGATTGTGTTGGATCTTAATCCGAGTACATAACGACCCTTCCCCATGTTCTTCATGTCAAAGGTAGAGGACAACAATCCTTGGTGGCATTGATCTTCTCCTTGTCTTTACTTGCCATTAATATCAACATATAATGTCAAGATTACGAAACTTTCCTTTCGACATTGACATACACATATTAGTCTAGTCAAAAATCCACAAGAGTTCACATATTTATGAAATTAAACAATTTTGTTGCGAAATCTCGAGAAACTTTCCTTTTGACATTGACATACACATGTTAGTCTAGTTGAAAATCCACAAGAGTTCACATCTTTATGAAATTTGTACTTTAATTCCATAAACAAACATAGCAAATTTACAGACTTTTATTCTTGCCCATGGATCTCATAGCCCTTCGACTTCTCCATGTATAACTCTTCCTTCCAAGGTTGCGTTAAGGAATGTTTTCTTAATGTCCATTTCACAAAGTTTTAACTCTAAATATGCTACAATGGTAAGACATGACTCACATTGTTTATATTGTCTTTTTGGATGAACCCTTTCAGCGCAAATTGGGCTTTATATTTGTCTATCATTCCATTAGCCTTTCTCTCAATTATCATGACCCACTTGTTCTCAATGGCCTTTCTTTCTATAGGAAGATCTACGAGTTCCAAACTTGGTTCATCTCCATGAAATTGATCCCCTGGTCACTTTCAACGATCCAATTGTCTGCAATGGGCATCTCAAAGCTTCCGCATATGAACATAATTCATCCCCACTAATGGAGATGTATGTCAGACCTCCTCCTGCAACCAAAAAATGTCTCTAAGGAAGTCCGCCACGTGCACTTCTACAAGATTGAACAACGAAGGGGCCTCAATTATAAAGTATTTGACAACCATGGAAAATACTCCCATTATCATCCTCTAGTGGAGAAGTATCTTCACTATTCTCTATTTTAAATCCAACTACGAGATTGAACAACAAAGGGGCCTCAATTATAAAGTATTTGACAACCATAGAAAATACTCCCATTATCATCCTCTAGTGGAGGAGTATCCTCACTATTCTTTATTTTAAATCCAACCATCTCATACAAATATAGAGTCTTTCTAAACCCTTTCCTACTAAGGTACTTCGACTCAATGAAGTCCACATTATGGGTATCAACCACTCTCGAGCCATCTTCTTCAAACTCATTGCATAGGACACACCCTAAGAGTTATTAAGACATCTAACAAAAGTACAGTCCATGGACCTCTTATCTAGCTTACACATTTATATATGCATATCATGGTACATAGCACTCACTTGAGTCTACAAGGGTCAAGATAGATGAACTTCCAAACGACTCGAAGAAAGTATTTGACACAGATATACTGGCTAGTGCTAGTAATCAGCATCAAGTAAAGATTTGGATGTACTTCATAATCGTCATGACAAATGAGTGTTTAAATCCTTCATGCAAAATTTCACAATCTAATAATGATTCCCCCCCCCCCCCCAGTGACTCTCAAAATCATATTACCTAGGCAATACAGCAACACGCCATGTTCAAATATCGCAAAGGAAATCAGAGACTTCTAGGGCAGAAATCATAGGCGTGATAATGCATTCAGCAAGTGGGACCTTGCAATCTAGTGGAATCGATAGTACAGAGTCAAAATGGGACTCTGACTCAGCGCTATTGACAAACAGGTCTAATGGATCCACTTGGAAACAATTCCTAACTTAGAAAGATATCGGAAAGCATTAAGCACAGCAAAGCTACCCCAAAAAACATAACACAGGTAAAAAGTTATACCCTCAGGAAAATCAACCCTAAATTAGCAAATTTTGAGGAAGAACTATGTGACTGCAAGGCCACAATCGTCCTCTGTAACCAGGCAGCTGGTAAGGTGTGACCCCACTCAAATATTTTGGTGTGACTGCAGCCACACTAGTGCGGCTTCAAGAATGTGGCCATATCTGTGATACTTCGGGGTTGCACTCGTACATCTTCACAGCCCCTGCAGACACAAGCTCAACAACTCTGCACAGCTGCCGATGCATGTGTATGGCTCCACCTCTTGTGGCTGCACCCCAAACACTATCACCAGCTGCTGTATGGTGCATCCATGGCTGCCACACACCTGTTTCATGCAGCCATAGCCACGGCTGCAGCTGTACACTAGATCATGCAGCTGTGAGCCCTCACTCTCACACATGCGCATGCACTGCCATGCATCACCATGCTAACACATAACACTTAGTGGCATGCCCCTCTCTCCAGAGAACTCCACACACCTCTCCCTCTCCTTGTTTTTCTCTCTAAGAAATAACAAGTTCCACCAAGTGATTCAGAGGAACTCTTAGGACATCTCCATCAAGGCCCAGGGGGTTTGCACTGTGAAATAATCATGTTTCTTCCAATCAAAGAAGCACACATGAGATTACTGGTATCAAACTATCAACCCTAAAAGTAAGCAGAAAAAGAAGAGACCCACAAAAAAGGGGATCAAGCTTCAAAAGGTATGTAACCTCTATTAGATCCTCATAGTTTTTGTGCTTTAATGTTTCTGTTGCATTGGAATGCACCAGCACTTTTTGTGCGTGATACGCCCTGTGTGCATGCACAGCCCTGCACTTGTCCCTGGCAATTTCTCATGTGGCCTGCACACATTGTGCAACAAAGGCTAGGGCACAACCCTGCACATATGCCAGCCTCTGTAACCACAGGCCTTGCATGTCTAACCATGTTGCTTGCACTAGTGTCCCACATGCACTACTCAGGCAGGTTTAATGCATGCGCATGTCAGAGAGCATGCATTAACTTTACGGTAAGTATCAAAATACGCCGGTCGCAGACATGGATTTTGATAAAGCTTGGACCAAATTGAAGCATCTCCCAAGCCAGATTTATCAAAGGGCGAATTAGAGCAAAAGCCAGTGTTCTTCAAGAGGTTTTCTTAAGCGTGCAACTCGGATAACTTATCATTGGATTTGGTTGCATCCTGAGAGTATGCCACGACTTCATTGCATCTTGATTCTTCCGTATGGGGAGAATTACATACCTTGAAGACGGTGAGATCATCCCTTGCCAATGAGACCAGTAGTTGAAGCAAAGTGGTCTGTTGTCTCGACTAAGTTCTAGTCGCCATTTTCTGAGTTCAATAGAATACAGGTTGCAACAAGCCGAGTTCCATTGGGATTTGGAGTTCACAATGACTGTATTGATTTCAATTATGCAGTTTTAACCCTGAGTTTAGATCTTGATTGAAATTTTCACATCGTTTATTCACTTTCATCACAGTTACACTTACAGTATAGAGCTCATTTCTCTTTTGACTATAGTTCTTTTCTTTCTTTTTTTTTAAGTGTTTGTAGAAGTTAACAATACAAAATCTTGTTTTGCCTACAGTTAACTTGTACAGGGCCCGAAAGGGGCTTTTCTGGTTTTTGCAGACCTGAAATACCAACATGCCATTCCCCAATCAATACCACGAGATAAAAGGAGCCAAAGTAATTTCCATGAAATAGCTATTCTTGCTCCAAACAATCCCATCTTGCCGAGGGCTTTCCATAAATATAGGACATGAACATTGTCTTAAAATTAATGAGCAACCATCTCTTTCTGAAAAGTAATTCTGACATTTGCACACAATTAACATTCACTAGAACTATGTATAGAGGCACAAGAAGCTATGATGTCTGAAAACAACAAACGTGCGGCAACAAGCTTTTATGATTCTACATATGCCTTACAATGCGTCCTGCATGGATATAAGAACCATTTTCAAGCTGCATCACAAACAGCAAGAGTATGAAAATCTCATAAGTAGACTCTCTGAAAGCATGCTCCAGCTAGGACTAAGCTATTGCTTTTGGTGGACAGAAGCAATCATCATGCGGTCACAGTGCTTTACATCAAAATAATCATATTTGGAAGAATAAGGTTATCAAATATATTAAATATTAGAATTAGTCAAGCAGAAGACCATGATGAAGATTTGAAATACAACATGGTTGCGTAAGCGTTGCACACAGAAATTTCAACGAGGGAATTTGGCTACAAGCTACTTGGACTTCCTAACTCTACCATAAATAGCAGTTTGCAACTCACCAACAAGTTTGATATCAGTATTGTCTACCAACCACTGTGCACCATCCTTCATAAAGCCAACATAGCTTGTGTCGAACTCTCGTTTCAGCATGAGATTCCTGAGACAGCACATTAAAGAGTGTTTGCAGAATTTATAATTAGAACATGCTTAAAAAGACTCACCAGGAAAAAACTACATAAAAAAGTGGGAAGAAATTCCATCATGATGATATCTAACATGCCTGCAAGTGATTACACTTGTATTTATGTTTGGCGAATAAATAACACTTCGAACATGCAGCTTTCCTAGGTGAGATTATGCATGGTGCCTGCAAGGGTTCCTGGGCGCCCAAGCATTTCCGCCATTTTTGGACGCCTAGACAGCGGCCAAGGCACTGGGTGGTCCGCTTTTTGAATCACTGAACCTTGGATTAGAGCACTTATATGTCCCACAAAAGTGCACCAGTAATCCATTGAGAACTTAATGACGAAAAACTTGGTTAGGGTGACTTTGATGAGCCAAATTAAAGTGGACCACCACTCTGGACTAGCCCAATGGTGTACTCTAATGCCTAGTGTTAAGCCTAGAGATTTTTTGTACCCTTGGTCCTATTTATTTTAATGAGAAAATATGTATTTATGGTGAAAAATCACTTAGGAATTTTTTTGAATTTTTGAAAATTTCAAGAAACTTTTAAAGCATAAAAAATCCCAATTTTGGATTTGTTTGGGGGTAATTCCAATTAAGGACACCCTAGTGGGGGTCCACGTAGCACCCAAGTCGCCATAAGGTGGCCACGTGGCAGACCCACAAGCGCCCATAAGGCTGACATTAGCTTAACGTGATTCCCTAGGCAATGACTTTCTTTAGAATTGTATGATTTGTTATATTATATAACATAGTATGCAATTAAATGAAATTGTTTCATACACCTTTTAATGAATTTTGTAACATGGCTTTCTTTCCACATGTGACCATGGTGGCATTTGCCTAAGTCTAAGGATAGTTGAAATATTAGCCCATGTGAAGCCCATGTGAAGCCATATGAAGCCCATGTAAACCATGTGGGATTGTATCCTCCTATTTGCATATTCTCTTACAAAGGATACCTTTTTGCCAATTACCATAAGGGCTGATGCAAGGAGAAAATAACACAGGAATAATAACAATAGAAAAAAGAAAAGGTCGAAAGAATATACCCTCTCTCAAGGTCTACAAGGGAATCCACCCCAAAAAATAATCTCTTCACGAGACCAAATTTTATTAAACTCATTCATTGCCCTACAATGAAGGGAGATCTCCCTTTAAATAGACAAAAAAAAAAAGACAAACAATAACTAAACAAAAATTCCCTCTCTACATAGACTTTCATATTTTATCTCTCCTCTCTATTTCGTCTCTCTTAACCTATTTTCTCTCATCCCTATTGTCTCTCTCTTAACCTAAATAGATAACCCAAGTTTACCCAAAACCTCCCCCTAAGAGCAAAAAGTTGCCTATTGTTGAAAAGATAGGCCCCCCTTAAATTTAACCTTATCCTATTTACATTCCTCTTTCTTAGAAACTTAACAACCCAATTGATAAATATCAATTCACGCATAAAATAAACTTATGCCCACCTAATTATCCCTGCCCACCTCCTATTCCTGAAATTAAAAGATAAAAATTAATAATAATATAAAAAAAAATTCTTCTACATCATTCTCCCGTGGTTGGGAGAAGCTCGACCTCGAGGTTGAAGCCAATCACCATCTGCTAATTGGTGATGTAATCCCACCATGCTCCTCGGCAGCTTTTCTTCAATTTCTTCAAGACTAATATAAAACTCTTTGCCTGTGACTGTGTTCCAAGAGTAATTGTTGAATACAAGTTTGGGCTGATTATGACTACTCCTAACTAGGAATGGGCCCAGCTCCAAAGACACACCATATGCAATCAATGAACACCTTTGACCATGAAATTTTGGGAGATCGATTTTAATATTAAAATCTTATAGTCGCTCTATAGAACGCGGATCTGGCCTTTAAATTTCTTTGTTACGCTTGAAAAAAAGAAGATAAACAATAACTAAACAAAAATTCCCTCTCTATACGAACTTTCAAATTTTATCACTCCTCCCTGTTTTCTCTCTCAACCTATTTTCTCTCATCCCTATTTTCTCTCTCTTAACCTCAATAGATAACCCACGTTTACCCAAAGCCTCCCCCAAAGGGCAAAACGTTGCCTATTGTTGAAAAGATAAGCCCCCTTTAGATTTAACCTCATCCTCTTTACATTCCTCTTTCTTAGAGACTAACCAACCCAATTGATCAATATCAATTCACGAACAAAATAAACTTATGCCCACCTAATTATCCATGCAAACCTCCTATTCCTGAAATTAAAAGATAAAATAAAAAATTAATAATAATAAAAGAAATCTTCTATTGTTATTATTCTCGTGTTAATCAAGTCATTCTTGCTCCAACTAACCAAGCTAATCCTGCTCCTTCTATGGATGATCGTTGGGGACAAGCTATAAAAATTTTGACTAAAGCCCTAGACGATGTTCGAACTGAAGTACGTGAGATGAATCAGGGGATGCAACGGTTGGATCAGAGGTTACAGTGGTTGGAGAACAATGTTCCTCGTGAAAAAGGTACTCGCAACAACATTAATCTTACATCAGTAACTCCACGACAAACCTAGGGTGTTGATTTTAAAAGTAACGAAGAAATTTAAAGGCCAAATCTGCATCCTATAGAACGACCACAAGATTTTGATATTAAAATCGATCTCCCAAAACTTCATGGTCAAGCGTGTTCATCGATTGCATATAGTGCTTCTTTGGAGTTGGACTCATTCTTGGTTAGGAAAAGTCATAGTCAGCCCAAGCTCGTATTCAACAATTACTCTTGGAACACAGTCGCAGGCAAAGAGTCTTACATTAGACTTGAAGAAATTGAAGAAAAGGTGTCAAGGAGCATGGTGGGATTATATCACCAATTAGCATATGGTGATTGGCTTTAAGTTCAAGGTCGAGCTTCTCCCAACCCCGGAAGAATAATGTAGAAGAAAAAAAAAATTATTATTATTAATTTTTGAGTTTATCTTTTAATTTCAGGAATAGGAAGTTGGGCTGAGTTTATTTTGTGCGTGAATTGATATTGATCAATTGGGTTGGTTAGTTTCTAAGAAAGATGTAATTAGGATAAGGTTAAATCTAAGGGGGGTTAAATCTTTTTCAACAATAGGTAATGTTTTGCATTTAGGGGGAGGCTTTGGGTAAACATGGGCTGTCTATTGAGGTTAAGAGAGAAAATACGGAGAGATAAAATATGAAAGTCCGTGTAGAGAGAGGGTATATTCTCTCGACCTTTTCTTTTTTATTATTATTATTCCCGTGTTATTTTCTCCTTGCTTCAAGGGCATACCCCCACCCCTATGGAACTTCTTTGTTTCATCAAAAGCTATAAGCTCTTATGGAAATTTTCAAATGACTAAAATAATATTGTTTTAGGGACAAAGACACAGGTAAAATCGCAAACCTAGGGTTTTATTGGGTGATAAAGGTGTGATAATCACATCCATTCATCTTAACAGTTAGATGAAGATGTGTGGCTAGGATCTAAGCCCTCTCATGTGCCATAGATAAAACGCATAAAGATCTAGATCATTTCTGTAAGGACCCGAACTATCCCGGCCGATTGAGTAAACGACGGGATAAGTAGAGCGTGGGCTGCACGGCTATAGAAGGAGAGAAGCGTCGCGCGGCGATGGGGCGCCCGGGAGTATGAGTCGCGCGGCGATGGTGTTCGCGGCAGAGCAGGAGAGGCGCGTGGCGGTAGGCGCGCGGTGATGGGAGCGCGCGGCAGAGCCGACAAAGTGTACGGCGGTAGGTGCAGTGAAGGCACACGGCAATAGAGGGGGTAACGCTGCCTGCACGCGTGAGCTGAAGGATGGGCAACGCCTTGTGTGCATCGTCAGCTGAATAAGGGACAAGGCGCAGCGCATGGCTCCGGCATGCATGAAGAGTGTTTGCCACTTGTCGTGCTTTGGGTGCCACTTTCCCAACCATTAGCACCACTTGGCCACTGCCCCATCTCTGGAGTACTTAGTCACCCTCTCACCCACGTCACTCATTCTCTCTCTCTCTCTCTCTCTTTAAGGCAAGGTTGGGGAAAGTTTGGGGAGCAGTCATTGTTGGGAGCGTGAGCTGTGCAAGAAGAGTTTGTGAGAAGGCACCATTACGGTGCAGGTAAGTGGATACATTACTATTGCATGATAGTCATAAGGATGCATGAGTCTTATGATTGTGAGATGAGTAATGAATGTGTAAGTGAGGTAGAAATCCTTACGGCTTTTTCACTGAAACTTGGGGTTTTGTTCTATAATGGAAGTGGATGCTAAGAATAAATGTATGATTCTTAGATTATGTAAGAAATGCATGTTATGTGTGTACATTGTGAAAAGATGGTTGTTATCATGCCCTTTTCCATGGAATGAAGGTTATGGAATGTGTTCTTAAAACATGTTATATGCTACTGTGAAATTCCAGAAATATGTGTGTTCATGAAAGAGACGTTTTAACAGTCCAACGAGGTCTGATTGACCTCAAATCACCGCCATTGTAAAGATATGCGAGTCTAGTAAAATGTTCGTTTTTGCTCACTACCGAAATTCTTTACGAAAATGAAGTTATGTTTCAAATGGAGAGGGTATATCACTGTTGACTGTTTTCCTGGATTTTCACTAATACCACTGTGGTCACTGATTTTAACTAACCAAATGAAGTTCATTTTCGGCCAAACCATAGCCATTTGAAAGATCTTTAAATGGCCTAAAATTTGCATGTAGAAACTATTTTGAAACTCTTCTTAGATTGAAAGTTATACTCTGTTTTATAAAGGTATGTCACTGTGGGCAATGTTGATAAAATTCAGAAGTATCACCATGTTTGGCATGAATCTTTGCACCACCAAATGGAGTCCAAATACTTCAAATTTGCCTTGTTAGAAAGATATATGTCTTGGCTTAAACTTTGATTTTTGACACCGTCACAAGTTGCTTCACGGTTTGGGAGTTATAGTGGTACAAAGCAGGGTATGTCGCTGCCCACTGTAAACAATAGGGTGCAGT